CTGGATACAAATAAATTATTTTAAAGTTTGTTTAAATTTTTACTTTTATTAAGTTTATACCAAATCTTACTTTAGAGTAGTTTATTTATTTATTAGTTGTATATAATCGTTATATGGATTGTATTATAGCTAATAAATGAAAACTATTATAACTGATCTTAAACTGATCTTAAATAATTATATTAGCTTTTTTTGAAAAAATTTTGTAGACCCTTTCATATTTTGCTATAACTTTAAAGTGTCCTTCAAATTTAATTATAAAATTATTACTTTCAAAGTAACTGTTTAAATATTATTTATAGTTATTTCAAAACTTTACACTGATAAAAATCGACATTTTTATATACATTTTTGTTTAATTTTATATATTAGATTGTATAACTTACTATTTTATATAAATTATATTATTTATCTTATTTTATATAATGTAGATTATATAATTGTAAAAATCAAGCGAGTATGATGTATGTGGATTTCACACATAAAAGTAATTCATCTGTTTAGAAATATTTTCGACGGCACAAGAAATGCCAGATGGCGATGTGTAAATCGCGGAACTGTAAAAAGAATTTAAAAATCGTTGGTGTTTTAACAAGAAGCCTTCATATACTCATGTTGTCGGTGCATTATATGAAGATGGAAAGTTCAAACCTAATATTACCGATAAGATAAGCTTATAAATATTTAAATTAAAGCTCACGAGAAAACACGAATAAGGTTAAGTATAATTTATCAAATTAAAGCTAATAAGAAAGCACAAATAAGGTTAAGTATAATTCATCAAATTAAAGCTAATAAGAAAACACAAATAAGGTTAAGTATAATTCATCAAATTAAAGCTCATATGAAAACACAAATAAGATTAAGTATAATTAATCGATTTAAAGCTCATAAGAAAACGGAATTCGGGATAGGAGAGAGATTTTTATAATCTTTTGAAAAATTAACCTCACTTTAAAATTGTCATTATATATACATGTATATTAAAATTTACGGATAAAACTCTCAGTTCTTGAGTTTAGTTTCAATGAATAAAAGTGGATTGAGCTTTTAGAAAAAAAACTTTTACACAACGATACTTTAGTTATAATAACCGATAAGGCCTAAATAATTGAACTATCTGAAGTTCACTTTGAGTCAGTCGTTAAAAAGGTGAGCAAAGTGATAATAATGTTTAGCCGATCACTTGCAAAAAACGAAATCTTACAAAAATATATAAATACTGAATTTTGAAAAAAAAGCTGACTTTGTACAAATTGACTGCTAGACGAGATGGAACAGCCTTTTGTTGGTGCTTAAACGGTTTTAAAAAGTTAGAAATCGCATACAAAAATCATTTACCCGGTTCAAATGTCACGTAATGAAATAGCAGTTTTATCCGAGTATATTACAATTCTAGTTCCAATAAAAGTAAAAGTTGGAGCAATTTGCCTTCGGGATTCTAATATGCTTACAACAAACATTGCTATTAATTTTATGCTTACCAAATTAAAAGATGACAATAAAACAAGTAAGGAAATAATTGCGTGTAGTTTTAATGGTTAGTGTACATGAACGCCGAATTAATATGAGTGGACTACTGCAATACCTGCGTAACTGTCGAAGCTTGGTTTATTTTTTTTCTTGTTGTGACAAAAATTTTAATGTCACAAAAAAATTAATTACTCGTTTAATATTATTGATAAATAACTGATTTTATTGTGAGCGTGCATCTGTCAAATCTGACGAAATCTTGCAGCGTTGTAAATTTTTGCTAGATTTCATTGTGACAGACTTTTTGGAGTTTTTTTTAATTTCTGAAATAGCGAAATAATTTTTTACATTTTCAATTTCTGATGTTTTGTTGTTACCAGTATTATGCAACTCTACCAGGTGAGGATTTTAACTTTCTGCGAGTGTCGGTTTTTAGATCTGTTGTCATTTAATATCTTGGTACATTTTTTTAAAAAATAAACTCTTTCAATTTAGGGATTGCTTTGTTTTATTCCATTTTGTAATCGTGAAAGATTCATCAGATGTAAGCATTCCGCCAATTTTACTTCATTCATGCCCTATGGGGTGACTTAAGCATTCCTGTCAATGTTGCCCCAAAACTGATAAATGCGTTTAAAAAAAAAGCTACAAAAAATCTTAAATGCTAAGTATTTAGAAACAACATCATAACAAAACACATGTAAAATGATATTATTTGTTATTTGTAAAATGATATTATCAGTTATTTTTTGACTTTTTTCAAATATGCCAATCTGACCTAGGGATTGCAAAGGGATTTGAAAGAACACAAAGCTACTGGATTTCTAAAAAAGAAATTCCAGATCAAAATGTTGCAGACAAAGATTTTAAAAAAGAGAGAGTACCTTAAATAGACCGGCTTATTTATTCACCACTGGAAAATATTTTGTCTCTTCTGATGCTTTCTCAATATCCAGAACTGAATTTGATGACTGATTACTTTGAATTATTCTATATAGAGGCATAATGAAAGCAAAATGCTCACTGATGTAGTCCTGTGCTATTTTGGAAAAGTCAAAATGAAAGGAAAAACTAATGCTTATTTGAAACAGCAGTTGGAGAATAAAAAGCGTTGCTGAAGAGATGTTCTGAGGAGAGTAGATAAATGTTTTATGTTTTTGAATAGTCAAGATCTAGTTCTTAGAGATGACTCAAAAGAATTAAAAGCCTTTAGTAACGGAAATTTTTTGGGGGCTTTAGAATTCCTTCCAAAATTAGACCCATTACTTACTAAACACTTATAAAGCTGAGAAAACGACGGCATAGGGAACGAAAATCTTTATATTGAAAAAACAATATTCTGAAATCCATTGGTAACGAAGCGTACAAAGTTAAATACTTTTCACTGATTGTTGGCTCCTTACACTGCAAACTTTGACTCACTTGCAATAAACTTTCAATATGTAAGCAAAGAAGATGTTGTGGAAAAAAGATATATTGGGCTTAAGTCTTATATGGACATAATGGAAAGTCTATGACAGATGCAGTCAGGAAAAGATTAAAAGAGCTTTGTTTAACAATGCTTGTGGTGAGCCATATGACAATTCATCTAACATATATGGAAAATACTACAACTTGCAAGCACAACTGAAAAGTAAGAATCCAAAAATTGATTTTGTTCCTTGTGTCGCACATTCTTTAAATTTATTTGACTTAAATGATAGATAATTTTTTTAGTTGTATGCTTCTTGTAAGTAATGCAGGAAACGGCAGGAAAGTTACCATCAAAAGCCTGAAAGTGCACTAAGGATAAAGTGGTCAGCAGGAGTCATTTTTATTCAAATTCTATATGCAAGTTATAGTTACTTCATTTTTTAAAGAAAATGAAAACTTCAAAGCATCAATTAACCTAGATAAAAAAAAAAAAATCAGGTACAAAATAAAGCCACTAGACTTAAAAAAAAATGAAACTTTAGGATGTTGTTTTTATGAAGAAACTTTAGAATTATTTTACAATTTAATGCTATTAGTATCAAAAATTAGGATAAAAGTGCAAATTTAGATTTTGGTTTGCAATTGCTTCAACCTCTTTTGGATTTTATGGCATCAGTTTGTAATGATTTCCATGACATTCAGGAATGTATGTATGCTCTAACCACGCTCGGCCGTTGCGCAGTGGTTTCCATGACATTCAGGAATGCATATATGCTCTAACCACGCGTGGCCGTGGCACAGTGGTCAGAGCGCTTGCTCTTTAAGCAGGAGATCCAGGTTCGAAACGGGTCTTGGACATATTTTCGCGTCACGGTAAGGAAGGAGGCGTGAACTTCCTGGTTAAATACACTTCCGTGGTGCTCTGTGACAAGTCCGTTAGGTCTTCTTGGGGCACTAAATTAACTATAAAAAAAAAATGTATTAGAAGGTGGATGTATAAGAAATGGTGACAAATTTATAAATAAACACTAATTTCCTATCATAGACAAGTTAAAAATGTGCTTGAAACAAAGGCTTTCTGCAGAGAGAAAGTTTGGTTTTCTGACTAGTCTTCTGACAATGAATGTTCCTGCAATTTTTTTAACCCTTCCTGTTACCAATTGTAGTGCAAAGCAAGCATTTTTAAAAATGAAAAAAGTTAAGAATGATCTCTTTTTTTAATTTTAAATGATCGTTTAAATTCCCTTTGTTTAATGACAATTGAAAGAACTCTGTTACAAAGTATAACTTTTGAAAATGTCATAATTGACTTTGCCAATGTGAAAGAAAGAAAATTTTTTTAACAATAAAAAAAGCGGTCTAGCTGATACACTAAATTTAACTAAGAGGCTAAAATGGTACCAGACTACCTATATAATTCTTTGAGTATTGAAGAGAAACATGATCTTTGTATTAAAGAAGGAAGCAGCCAGTTAGATATGACGCGTTGCTATCAAAAATACAAAAAGAAATTAAACTATTTGAAGATAGGCCGACATGCGTCAAGACGATGAAGTATTATGTATAAAGCTGTATTAAAGTCTTTTACTGTAATATTCATTACAAAAGTTTTTAAGCGTTTAGGCAATGAAGAAACTTTAGCATAGAATTATTTTACAATTCAATGCTACTTGTATCAAAATTTAGTGCAGATTTAGATTTTGGTTTGCAATTGCTTCAACCTCTTTTGGATTTCATTTATTTTTTTATTCCAGAAGTTGCTATCATTTTTAATGATTTTTTTTAGTTTAAATTGAAGGTTGAATTTGAATAAAGAATATATTTGATTATATTATGAATATATAAAAATGTATTTAGGTTTTAGTATTACGGTTGCTTTTTAATTTTTAAATTAAAAAAAAATTTCCATCAGCGCCTATTACATAAGTTATTAATTTTGAAAACTGTTGTCATAGTAACAATTGTTATGTCGTCAAAGTTGTGATGTTATCAAAGTTGTTTATATGTTATCATAATTGTTATAACTAAATTGTTAAAAATTTGTTTTTTTTTCCTCAAGTACCTTCAATGTCACAAACCATTGTCCTATCGCTCACCTTTTTTTTGTATTTTAGATGATGCAAGAAATTGTTGCAGATTTTTTAATCGCTACAAAGGGGCATTCATAAAGTAAGTACGCAGTAAAACCACTGATTTTAGACGCGCTTCCCCAATACGCACTGTAACCTTTCAACAACCCCCTCCCCACCCTCTGCGTACATACGCATTTTACTACAAAAAATATGTATCACTCTCTCCTCTCCTTCCCGAACCTACATTATTTCAAAACATTAAAATCAAAAATTTTGTTAAAACTATAGTAAAATGATAAAATTCCTTAAAAAATTGAGTTTGAAAATCACAATAGCTGATTGAATAATAATAAAATAAAAAACTATTGTGATACAAAAAAAGAGCTGAAATACAAAAAATAAGCCTTTAAATTTCTTTTCTTTAAATAAACTCTTAAAAAACATATTCGAATTTAAAAAAAAAGGTTTCTTTACTCAGGAAATATTTATTATCTTGTAAATATGATTTCAGTGTTTGAAAAAATTAATTAAAATCGTAATTGATTTGTTGTTAAAATTTTTATTTAAGAACTATTTTTTATTTTTATTATATTTTTGACAATTGTATATCAAAAGTCTTTTTTATTTCTGATGGCTTTTTATTTCAAGCTCAAATAAAACACAATAACATTCAATTCACCATTTACTTCAAAATCTCAATGTTCATAATATGAGCATATAATATATATATATATATATATATATATATATATATATATATATATATATATATATATATATATATATATATATATATATATATATATATATATATATAATATATATATATATATATATATATATATATATATATATATATATATATATATGTATGTATGTATGTATAAATATATATATGTATAAATATATATATATGTATACATATATATGCATATATATATATATATATATATATATATATATATATATATATATATATATATATATATATATATATTATATATATATATATATATATATACATATATATATATATATATATATATATATATATATATATATATATATATATATATATATATATATATATGCATATATATGTATACTTGTATATCAAAAGTCTTTTTTATTTCTGATGGCTTTTTATTTCAAGCTCAAATAAAACACAATAACATTCAGTTCACCATTTACTTCAAAATCTCAATGTTCATAATATGAGCATATAATATATATATATATATATATATATATATATATATATATATATATATATATATATATATATATATATATATATATATATATATATATATATATATATATATATGCGTGATTTAACTAATTTAATAATAATAATATATATATATAATATATATATATATATATATATATATATATATATATATATATATATATATATATATATATATATATATATATATATATATATATATATATATATATATATATATATATATATATATATATATATATATATATATATATATGCGTGATTTAACTAATTTAATTTTGATTTATGTATTTATTTTTAAGAAAAACATAATATTCTTTAATCTTAACATGCTTCATAGTCACTAACTAACTTTTCAAAAGATATAATTTACAATTAAAACTTTGGTATATATAATTTAGAACTAAAGACATCACAGAGAAATATTAACTGACAAAAAACTTGTAGTAAGTTTTATTGTTAGTTTACACTATTTTTACAAATTATATATAAGTTGAAGAATACAAATTTAAAGTTTTGAAGTGACTGTATGTTGTTTATTATAAAGTTAATATATTAAAATGTGTTAATATATTAAATTTTTGTATCTGGCAGTCATAAAAACTGAATAGGGTTTTTTAGCCTGATCAATTATGACCTAATCATAAATAAAACTGTCACAGCATCTTTTGATAAGGAAAAAATTGAGTATGGAAAAAGGATTGAGAAAAAAGATTATGCTTCTGAAGCTTGTCCAACTAAAGAATCTTGGATTAATTTAAAAGCACCAAGTTACAATGTTTATAGACGTTTTTAATTGCATTTATTGACAAGTCTACCACTATTTTATCTTATATGGCGTGTTTTTTATTAAACTTATAATAAAATCACATATATAAACACTAAATATATTTTAATGTCGGCATTGCGTAATATTTTACGTTGATAATATTGCGTAATATTTTACATTACATATTATATATTTATACACATATATAATTGTATACATGTACTTATAAATATATAATTTAATCCAATTCAATAATTGTATAATTCAATAATTGTATACATGTAATTATAAATATATAATTTAATCCAATTCAATGAACTAATATTCTTGATAATGTTTGCTGGTATTGTGGTTTTTACCACATTACCAAGGTCCTCAAAGACTAGCTCAGCTCCTAAAGGGGCGTCATAACCCGCTCTACGGACCGAGAGTAAGAATTTGGGAAGAACGAAGGTATGTTAGAGTGAAAGACAGAAGTACTCGAGTTAGAAGGATAGCATAGAGAAAGTGGATATGATTGCACACAATGTTAGAAGGTACAATAGGTACTGTTAGTTAGGTTACCTAACTAATGTACGCCGACAAAGACTTGATTGGAGTTCACTTGATATGAACTCTTCCTCAACTTTCTTTGTCGTCTTTTCTTTGTTGATAACGTCTACAAAACTTTCAGATGTGTTGAAAAGTACCATTAAATAACAAATTACCATAAAATATGGTATCAAGTATTTGGCTACTTTAGGCTAATAAGCTAGAAGCCCTTTGGGTGCACTCTTTATAGGTGTAGCTGCACCCTCTAACTATCTATCAAGGTCATTAGTTTGTATCTTCATATCTAAATGCATGCAATTTAGCATCAAAAGAAAAAAAGATTTCAGGGAAAAACGTGTGAAGAGGACGCAAGAAGGGTACTATTTTGAAATCTTCATCTCTCCACCCCTCACGCCTCGGGTAAGGTGGGTTTAAACTCAAATATTATTTTTTTGTTATAATTTTTCATAATTTCTGCCATTCCTTCTGCCACCAGAATGTTTGTATTTAAAATGAGGCAGGTCTTAACTTCGATTCTGGACACATATGTGGAAAGCTCTTTTTGATTTAGGTCCAGTAAAATATCTGCAGTTAAAGCTACACAATTGAGATTTACCAAAGTTCCTTCCTTTCCAAGTTCCTTCCTTTTGCGAGCTAAAAAATATAACTTATAATGAAACAAATCAACAGTATTTAGTTAAAAAGTTTAGTTAAAAACTATTTCTAAAATTAAAGTGAAATATTTTACCAACTTGTTGTTTTATTGTCTAAATAATATCTTGCTCCGACGTTCTATGTAAGAGTTAACTAACCAAGAAGACAAATAAGATAACCATTTTTAAGTTTTTGTTTTATAGGGCTTAGTTTCTCTCTAAAGATATGTTTAGTTACATCTCATTCACTATAACCTGCAGATATTGATGGTTTACTAGTTAAAAGAGATAAAACATTCATGTTGACAAATGAAACATCTGAGGAAGCTGATGATAATACAATGATAGACAAATTTAATATATCGCCTAAAAAACGTTCATCGCAAATGTCAAAATGTCTAGCCCAATTTAATAATTTATTTATGAGACACTTAACCTAATTTTTTGCATGTTTTTATCTTAAAATCCTGGCCTGAGTGTATAACATTATTAAAGCCTAAAATAGTTACCTAACTGGAGTAAAAGTAAGGTGTCTGAACATGCTTTTTTTTCAATGAAATTTGACAGGTAGTAAGAAAAAAAGTTTTTAAAGGTGAGAAAATATATTAAAAAAATGAACAAGCTTCCCTTTCATATATACTTGATGTCAAAACAGTAAACAAATCTTTACCTAATTGGGGTATAGTTTAAAGGTGTCTGGACATGCTTTTTTTTAGTGAAATTTGGCATATAGTAAGAAAAAAGGTTTTTAAAGATGAGAGAAAATATTACAAAAATGATTCAGCATTTCTATGATATATACTTGATGCCCAAACAACAAGCAAATATTTACCTAATTGGGGTATAGTTTTAAGGTGTCTGGGCATGCTTTTTTTTTCAATGAAATTTGGCAGGTAGTAGGAAAAAAAGTTATTAAAGGTTAGACTATATATTACAAAAATGATCCAGCATATATACACACATATATAAAAAGAGACGATTCTACAAAAAGGGGGAAGGGAGGTGAACCTTAAAAAATTCACACACACACACACACACACACACACACACACACACACACACACACACACACACACACACACACACACACACACATATATATATATATATATATATATATATATATATATATATATATATATATATATATATATATATATATATATATGCGAACGTCGCGTTAATGCTATTTTTAAGTCTTTGTTTACGTTCTACCGAGGAACAGCTTCCCGTTAGAAATATGTAAAAATTACATCTTTATTAGATCGGATGCAGACATCCTGCCGATGTTATTTTGTCGTTTTTTGTTTTACGTCCATCAAAATAACTAAAATTACATCCTAGCTTTTATATATTTTTTTAGATGTCGTGCAAATATCGGCCCGATGCCTACGTTTTATCTGATTTAATTCAATTTAGGTATAAGAGGTATTATTTCAGGAATATTTGTTAGATAATAATAAACTATGTTTATTTGGATATTTAAGATACTTTTGATTGTTAACGTAAAACGAATGAATATTGGATTTGAGTTTATGAGCAACATTTGTAAAAAAATATTAAATTCAGAGCTTAGAGTTAATTAAGAGATTAGAGTTGAGTCAGTTATATAAATTTTTATTTTTTTGGAAACAGTTGAAGGATGGTTTAATAAAATTTTTGAAACTAGTTAGAATGTTAATGTCTTTCCAAAGTTTGCGAAGATTTTTTAAATTTTTTGATAAATATTTTTTTAATGGATTTTTTTAATAAGTTTATATAATGTAATGATTATATATTTATTCTTAAACTTTCAAACTTGTTTTCATTTATACGATTTTTAGATTAAAACTTAGATGTTAATATTAACATTTTTTTTTGGAAAAGATTGTGCACTTAAATAGATGTTATAATGCCTTTTGTAATCCATCGTTAGAATTGACGATTAAAGTTTTTTGATACTTGGACCTTTTAACATCATATCAGTCAATTTTTGATGAATCAGATTTAAAGTTTTCTTTATTGAAGTTTTTAAAACTCCCGCTATGTAAATTGTGTCTGTGTGGTATAAATAATTTATTGAAATTTGACAAATGCAAAGTGATCAGAAACAGAAGTTGTCAAATTTCATCAGTTATTAAGTTAGAGAAAATAAAAACCTAATAACTGATGAAATAGTTTCATCAGTTATTAAGTAAGAGAAAATATTATCAATAATTGTAGCAAAGTGATCAGTCTAGTTGACAAAGTGATAAAAGGACCATTATTATAAAATGAAAGGTTTAAAAATCAGACGTCGCAAAGTCAGTATTTGATTATCAATATAAGTAAAAAAAAACAGATTTATTTATAGAAGATGTTTTTTGAAATAGATATTATTAAAAATATTGATATCCATAAAAGGGTGTCTATAAATACAACAAACAATGGTATTAGATTTTTTTAGAGAAAATAATTTCAACAAATATGGATTAATTTGGTGAGTGAATCATTAAATCATCTCTTTATTTGTATATTAGTTTTTTTGATAAATATAATAACCACCATAACAGGATTCCCTTGTTGTGTGCATATATGTTGTAATTGTTTATGAGAGTCAAATGTATTGAGTATTGTTGAGATTAAGCATGGTATCAATGGTAGAAACTTAAAATAAATACAAAAATATACAAAAATATGCATTAAAGAACTAGACCGAGCTGTCAAGCCCAAGTGAAATAAGGAAAAAATTAGAAAGAGAGAAAGGATAACAAAATTAAAAATATATATAGAACAGATATTCAGAACAAAACAAAGACAATATAGTAAAGAGTGTAGTAAAAAATAATAATGATATTTTAGACATCACGCATATAATAGAAATGTAATAAAAACAAAACAGGACATATAAGTAACCATACATCTACATAAAATACAAAAGTTTAACATACTTAAAACAAATATATATATATATATATATATATATATATATATATATATATATATATATATATATATATATATATATATATAGATATATCAATATTTAAAATGAATAATTATTAAATGATAGGTATAAGATATAGAAAAAACATTATTGCTTTTGTGTAATCATAATTTATGTAGTGGTGGTAATAAACTTCTCCTCAGAATCGCGTTTATTATTACCGGCGTTTCCTAGAGGCTCAGCAACAATACCTAGTTTTTCCTGTCAGATAAACATCATCGCTATTTATGCTTTACCCCGCGATTTTACTATATATTTTAATCACGTTTTAAATTCTAAAAATACTAAAATGCGATTCTATTGTGGAAAACGTATAGAATATTCTATCACGCAGTTTTCAACTTTAAATAAACATTTTTAAGATTTGTTATCCAACATAAATTTTTGCTAAAGTTTGTAAATATCAAAGTTTAATTTAATAAAGAGAAAAAACATCTTGAACATATACTTCCCAAATGTGGCCGTGAAATGAAAGAAACTTACATGTGGCGCTCATGAACGTGTGGCGTTCGTTTTTAGTGTGGTGTTAATGCTATTAGTATTATAGCCACGCATGTACAGCGTCAATGTCATCCCATAAAGGAGAATAGTATACAATTCTTTTTTATGGGAACACATTAGTGCTGTATATGCGTGTTAATGTTTGCCATATATGGCAAACATTAAAATTTCTCTTTAGATAGAGGTATTTTCCAACACTAAAAGTATAACATCAAAGTACGTTTATTAAAATCTTCAGAAATAAACTCTTGAGTAACTAAAAACTCTAGTGGATAAGAAGTTTTGATGCGTAGCAGTACTTCTCCTAAAATGGTTTAGACTTAGCAATGCTTTATTTTTTTTTTTAGAGGAAAGTATATCCAGAATTATCTTCCTATTTTTTTCAAGAATTCGTTGTTTATATGATTACTCTACAAAGATTATTTGAATCATTATTTGGAGTAGAAAAGTTTAAAAATGCCAATAATTTGAGTCTTCTTGAAGAAGAACAACCAAATATTCAGCAACTTTTATCTGACATTTCAAGAAAAAAATTAATATATTTGTAAAAACACCTAAACAACAAGGTATAATAACAAGTAAATTTTAACAGAAACAATCTTTTACATGTTTAGTAGTCTGGAAACAAGCAAAAACAGTATTAAAGATTTAAATACGTCATTTGCTATTCTTATTATTACGATAAAACTTTTAGTGCAAAAAATACTGACGTTTAAATTTGTTCTGTTTATTAATTTTAATTTTCTTTATGAGTTTAACTAAATATATGTTGTGACAAATCTTCTATATTTTTTATTTAGATTCACGCTTATATTTTTCAAGCATTTTATTTTAATTTTTTCTTTTTAAGTTTATTTAATGGCATTAATGGGTTTATCGACTTGATCTTATAAAACAATTTTGTTGAAGTTGTCATCTGCTTTATAATTGTTCATTTTAATGATAAAAACATTATTGATAATCCTATGATAACTTTTTTTATTTTTTACGTTGTTTGTTTTTAAGAACATTTTATTGGGGTTATATAGAGAAAATCTTTTTATTTTTTTGTGTTTAAAAATTAAAGTTTTCAACAATCATGGGCTGATGGAATTCATAAAGAATATTCTAGAGGATTGTAGGCACTATATTATATATGTATTATGATTTTTAGTTTAAATTCATTTATTGTATGTTTATTTTAATTTTATCATATTGTTATTTGTTTATATTAATTTTAAAACATATAATAAAAAATTATACTATAAATTAACGAGTTCCATTAATTCAAGAAGTATTTAAAAAATAATACAGTACATTAACTTATTTTTCACTTTTTTAAAAATAAGCTTTCTTCTAATCTTTAGGATGCAAAATAAATAAAAAAATAAATAAAAAAATAAGTAATAAAGAATACAAATATTTAATGTTGAAATTTCATAAAAATAAATAATTTTTTTCCTGTTGCTCTGTTTAATCCTGTTACGGATTTTTTTTTTGAAAAACTTCGAAGTAATATGTGTATATCAATAAATATGTTATTTCCCTCAAAGATGGATTTGGAAATTTGACAAATTTTCCAAGCAAAGTAATTAATGCCATCCATATCCATGGCGACATCACTACAACTTGAACAACAGCATTTAAATTCAACATTTATAGTCAATAAAAGTTCAAATTACACAATATGAATTTAAAATATTTGCCTTTTTAGCATAAACAAAGAAGTTAGAATTTATTATTAATTGTTGGGATATATTATTTATTAAATACATATTTATATCCAGCAAACGTTTTTGCAGTGGATTTCAGTGGACCTATAAAGGCATTTTGAGCGGTTCATTGGAGTTTTGCTCATCAGTTTCTTAGCAGACCAATACTGGCATCCACTGTAAAAGGACAGTCGATAAATTTCAAATATGTGATATAGTGGCTCGTCATCCGTTAGCCACTTTTACAGGCTGCCTCTAATGGTCAAATTCCGCTGTATAATATTTGCTGGGTATACCCAATAAACATTGTTTTCGTGGATTTGTCATGAACCTATACAGACATTTTTTAGCGGTTTATTTAAGTATTGTTCATCGGTTATTTAGTGGAACATTAGTAGTTGGTAATATAAATAGCTAGCCGATAACTTTCCGACAAGTTTTTAGTGGCTAGTCATTGGCTAGCCATTTTTGGCGGCTACCACTAATGGTCCACTAATTAAACGATACGCAATCCTGCAGTTGGCCTCCTAAAATGTCTATAAAGGTCGACTGAAATTCTGCTGTAGAATGTTTGCTGGGTATATTACTATTTATACTTATTTTATAATTTTTAATTATAAATTATTTTATAATTTTGTTAATTATATAAAAGTAAATACATACCTTTAAATATTTAACTCTTCTATAATTTACTCTGGTGTAAAATAAATTTTTTTCAGAGCAGTTACGGTTATATTGTTCACTTACAATGATTTATTTACAATTATTTACGGTTAGAATGTTCACTTACAATGATTTATGTTCACTTACAAAGAAGAATCTTTTATAATTTAGTTAACAGTTTATAGGATGTAATGGTTCATAACTCAAATTTGAAAAAGCAAACTGCGCACATTTGTGTAATTGATCGGTTTAAACGTCTAAAAGTCAATTTTCTAAAATTCCAAAAGAAAAAAAGAAAAATTTTTAGTAAGCACAAACTAACTACCTGACGTAAAATATAAATTAAATTGGTCAAATTTCGGAAAGCCAAAAGAGTTTTGTTTTTTACAAGAATATGTAAAAGTAAAAATAAAATTTTTTATAAAATATTTATTTCTAAAATAAATTTTAAAAATAGCTGAATATGTCAGGATTTTATATTATTTTCAAAATCATTTTAATCAACATAAAAAATAAAAATAAATTCTTTTATTGAACAAACAATAAAAAAAAGGGGAAAAAACCAATTTAGAAATTTTTTTAGTGTATAAGAAAAGCGTGAAACAGAAAAATAGATTTATCTATTATATAATATTGGAATAAGGAAAAAAACACTTTGATTATTTATTATTATTTTCTTAGTTATTGACCGATAATGGCGGAATGTTGACCGACGTAAGCGGAATGTTGCCTTTTTTAGTTTTTATTAAATATTTTTTATATTTTTTTAACATAATAATATAAAAACATCACCATCAGATTCAGAATAATTAACTCTAAACTGTATTTTTAAAACATTCAAAACTATATTTTTATTTCAAATTTAAGTTTTAACTTAATAAAATATTTCAAAGTTTTTTTCAAAGTAATTTGAAAAAACTTTGAAAAGACTTTTATTTTTATTTATTGTCAAGAAAATTCAAAATTTTCTTCTATAAAGATCTGTTTTTACATTATAAAATTTTTCAATATTTTCTGTTCAAATAAAATTTAAGTAAAAGTGACCGACATAAAATATTAACCGAAAAAGTAAAACTTGAAAAACAAAAACTAGAAAAATTTTTACAGCCTACAATTATTGCTTGAATTTTATTGATTATTTAAGCATATAAGAAAAGTATATGAATGTATGTTCGATTTTAAAAAAAAAGGGGTAGATCAGCTTGTTTTATTTTAATTGTTTTAACTTAGTTAAAACAAATTTCATACACTATATAAACATAACAAATGAAAGACTAGGAGTCTTTCATTTGTTATGTTTATATAGTGTATGAAATTTGTTATTTTACTTTTTTAACTTGGTTCTAGGGACTTATCAATAAGACAAATATCTTTGACGGTAACGTATATCAGTGACAGATCCAGGATTTTTTGATGTTTGAGATAACTAACTTCAAGACATGCAGCAAACTCCAAATATTTGTATGTTTATATTATGTCAAATAACGATGCTTTGCAAAAAATTGCAATGATTAGAGTCTAAGAACAAAAAAGATCTTTAACTTTATCCCACACCCCCACCCTACCCCAAACGTAAGGGGCAACAAGTTATTAAAATAGTTTTTGTACTATTCTCAACTAGACTTATATTCATTGATAAATTTTAAGTGTCATAGTATTATCTCACGGTGTTCAAAAATTATGACCATTTAAAGTTTAAATCCTCTCAATATGAGGGGGTTACAAACTTTATAAGGTATATTTTTTGAAGGCTGAGAAATAATACTATGAAACTTAAAATTTATCAATGAATAAGTCTACTTAAAATTTATGAATGAAAGTCTAGTTGAGGAAATAAAAAAAAATTTTTTATCAGCTTGAAGACCTTCAACGTTGGGTTGGGGAAATAAAGTTAAAGGGTTTTTTTGTTCCCAGCTTCCAATCATCGCAACTTTTTGCAAAGCCTCATTATTTGACATTAGTATTAACATATAAATGTTTGGAGTTAGCTCCATATATATATATATATATATATATATATATATATATATATATATATATATATATATATATATATATATATATATATATATATATATATATATATATATATATATATATATATATATATATATATATATATATATATATATATATATATATATATATATATATATATATATATATATATATATATAAATATATATATATATATATATATATATATATATTTGTAAATATATATATATATATATAATATATATATATATATATTTGTAAATATATATATATATATATATATATATATATATATATATATATATATATATATATATATATATATATATATATATATATATATATATATATATATATATATATATACACTCATACGGAAATAATAAACTTTTTATTTGCTTTAATATCATTCCTAGTAAGCAACCTATATATCTTATGCAGATAATTCAAATATCAAATTTTATAAGACAAATAATGGCTAAAAGTTATCTTTACAGATAAAAATACGTCGCCGTTTTTGCTGCTAACAGCTATCATTTTAGATGGGCAAAAACACTTTCGTTCGCGAACAATGACATTTACAAAAGAACACTTTAAAATGTCCAAGTGTTGTTGTATTTTGGGATGTTCATACAACACAAAAAAACGATAAACATCATGGTATTGAACTGATTGCCGTTCAGTTGGGTAACCTCTCCAAGTATCTGCAGTAAACTTGTGTGGACATAAATTGATTTCAAGGATTGCAAGTTTGCTTTTGTACCGTTTTATTGCGTTAAAATCTAATTTTTCAATATAATCATAAATCAGCTTTTCTTTTTTGAAACTCTTTAACTTACTTCAACGAGCAAATTACCATACTTTATTAACTCGACTAATCATTTGTTAACCCTCTCCCCCTCCCCCTTCCACAATTGTAACAATTTGCGCTATTGAAATTTTGCATATCATGTGATTTGGATCACCATTGATTAACCTTTATCTTTAAATTTGATTTGACATAATGTCTAATCATTTTTTTTGACATTACATGATGTTATTTTATTTGCGATACTAAATTTTGTATCTTTAATTGTAATATGACATAGTTTATCTTTAAATATGATATGAAAATATACTTTAACTTTGATATGACAAATGTATCTTTAGTTTAAATATGCATCTTTAAATATAATTTTAAAAATTGTATTTATGAAATGACATTGAACCAGGTATCTGTTAATTAAACATGGTGACTTTCATGTTAGTTACACCAATCTTATGTCATAAAAAAATGTTTATCCAAAAAATGTTCTGGTTTGAGTCTAAGAACGATAGAAAAAAAATAGTGTAAAAAGCAGGCATCAACACCTTATATGTAGAGAATTAGTATTTAAAAAAACCTAACATGACTGTCACAGAGCACTGTGGAAAACATTTAAAAAAAGTTTACGCCCACTAAATACACATTGGTGAATACACATTGGTGAATACACATTGGTGAATACGCATTGGTGAATAAACATTGGTGAAAACACATCGGGGACTAAAATAAAATAAAGTGTTTCTATCTAAAAAATACTTTTCAAAACGTTAAATTTGGGTTTTGTTAAAAATATTTTTTGCATCTTTTTCACGCTTTTTCCTTACCAATATTGCAAATATGCCTGTATGTAACTGATTCTTTAACAAGCGTTTTACTTAAATTAATAAAAACTGAATTTCGGAGTGTTTACAAAGACAGTCTATTTACTCAAAGTACCACATTTCTTACTTTCCAGGCAAC